TACGTTGTACTATGCATGTAATGTTTTGATATGTTTTAATGTGATTTTTTTTTCTTAACTTTTGTACTTTCTTTTTTTTTTTTTTTATTGTCGCTCACAAATCAAATCATTGATTAAATTGGAGCTAAACGCCTAGTAGTGACATTTGATATTAATCGAATCAATTAATAGTTTATAGTGTTGTATCAAAATGTGATTGCTTAAGCCTTAAAGAATACTATATATTTTATAGCAAGATATTTGAAATGCGAAGAACTTCAAACTTGCTCGTTTGATTAATTCCTTGCTACTTAATTAGAGAAAACCGAGAGGAAGCAAAGCGATCTGTTTTTTAGGACGGAAAAAATAAATACTTTTAGAATTACCTAAAACACTATCATACGCAGAGGCGGAACTGAGTGAGGACAGGAGGGTGAGTCCACCCCCCTACGGCCCTAATTTTCTTTGAAAGATTATGTCCGGTGGTGGAGCCGCCATGGCCGTTCGACCATCCAAGAAATCAGTTGCAGGAGAAAAGAAGCAAGGAAGAAGATGGTTCACAATTACTACTTTCTGATTGAGCTCTCTCTGAAATATAACTGGCCTCATTTATGTCACGCTCCTGGTCTTAGTTGTAGGAAATAGAGAATATGGGGGCTGGTTTGTAATTTCCAAATTATGCTATGCTTTAAATAGTCGTAGGGACTGAAAGATGATTAACGAAAATTATAATATCAAATTGGATTTTTCCAATTTCTCCACTCCTTCGTCGTTCTTCATCCTTGAACCCAAACTCCTTTCCGGTCTAAGTCCAATTTTCTCCTTTGCTATTTTCCGGCCACCTCCCTAGGTCCCCGGTCATGACATTTGGTATTTTATGTTGGCCATAATAATTTTGCCCGAAGTTTTAGCTTTTCTAAGTACACTTTGACTCGTACAAATTAATACATGTAAATCCAGCCCATCGTGAAATTTAGTTCTAGGATTTGTTTTTAATTTAAACTTTTTTGTAATTTGATTGATCACCTAATAAATATAACCTAGACCTAATTTTAGATGTGTGGTAACGAAGAATTATACACAGTATTTTTTGCTTTTTTGTTATTATTCATACTTTCTTTGACCTTCCAAGCTAAGAATTGTGGTTCGTCACGGATCATATGCAATTTTTTAAAAATAGAAATGAAAAAAAAATGCGAAAATTTAAGCGAAAACTAGAAGGTTGGAAAGGTTCGACCATTCAATTTAAAAAATTATTTTATTTTCTTGAGGAGGTGGTATTTGAAATGGCCAATATTGATAATTAAAATAGGAATTAGCAAAAAGATGAGAAAATATGAGTGGAAACTAGGATGGAGATACTTATTATCAAGAGTTCAAGGCTTCGATTCTAACTAAAGTTATTCAATTTTAAATATATATTTATATATATATATATACATATATATATATATAGGTGAGAAAGGATCGACCGGCCATGATTGAATACAATAAAAACCCTCACCATTTACAAGGTACTTTCGTTCATTCTTTTTCGTAGTTAATACTATCTCCGTCTCAGAAAAATAATCCAATTCAATAAATAAAAATATAAAAAATTAGATGATTGATTCTTGCAAATTAAAAAACTAATACAAAAAATTAAATAAATTTTTATGACTATTTATCAATTTGGTAATTAATCTCATAAGTCGAATTTGAAGATTTAAATTTTTAAACTTGAACTATTTTTCTAGGACAGGTGTAATATGAGTTTTTTTTTTTTTTTTAATGGGGGTAATATGAGTTATGGCAAAACATTCGAGTCAATTTTGTTGAATTATTCCAAATGCTATCTTACTCGGTTAACATGCATTGAACTGCCTCCACTTCTAGAAGACTTTAATCCATACTTTTACCTATCATCTTTATCGATTGCGTAAGCCTTAATATGGTTAAAAAGCTCCCCCGCAATCATCATCATCATATATATATATATATATATATATATATATATATATATATATACCTAGATACAGAATGATGACAATTTTATTTACAAGAAAAGGATAAAGATTTGGTACTAATAAGATTCGAACTTGTAATATTTTCTATGCAAATTTTAGATATCCTAAGAACAAGTTGGTCAATATATAGGATCAACATATATAAACTACTAATTAAAGATTTCTAAGGGTGAGTTAAGTTAGTAGTTCTCGATCGCAATGTTGAACAAATACATTTGAAAAGTAAATGCTAATGCTTCAACATTTAATAAGATAAATAATAACAATTTTTCCTGCACTAAAATCATTTTAGCAGACTTGGAGTCGTTGAGAGCTAAGGTGTGTATGGCATAAAATTGCCCGATCAATTTAATCCATAGCCAACGAGACCGGAACGGAATAAGTAACGACAGCTTCAATTGGTCCAATTTTGTCAGGTTTAACAACTTCTCAAACTTATCTATAAAGTGACTCATTAATTGTAGCAAATGTGCATGTTTTTAACTTTTTTTGGTTTTCATTTTTCTGAATTAGATAGAATGATCAACCGGTTCGTCTCGGTCCAAATTTATGTAGGAAACGATCAAAGGTATATGATTTTTTACTCTTATAATAATGATCAACCCATAAATACACTGATAAAAGTAACAGGATAATCATTTTCATACGAGAAAAAAAAAACTCGGTTCAATATCTCTCATTATCACTTTTTGATATGTGTTTTTTGGTTACGCTTCAAAGGAATACCATCTGTTACTACGTGATCTTGTGCATTCAAGCATTGATAATGGCTACAACGACCGGTCAATGGCAACGATAATAGAGCTGGTGATCTTGTAAAAGAAAAAGGAAATTTATTCACCTCTTTCACGAATGTATTTAGTTTTGTACATAAGCTCATTGAATTCCACCTCAAATCCAACTAGATGCTTGCTCCGGGCAAACGTCCGGGGGCGTCCCACCTAATAAATTGATATGTAAATAATCAAAACTGATTAGGAATCAATTTAGTTTTTGATGAAAATAATTGATTGATCGAAAATTAATTTTTTCAAAAGTCCTAAATAAATGGAAAAGAAAAATTCCATACACTGTCAAATTCAAAATTTGAATAAACATGGCCATCTGATCTCTTCGTTAATATTGTAAATATATTCTCTTCGTTAATATTGTAAATATATTTTTTATTTTTAAAAGGATGTGACACGTGGCAGAATGATTTATGCAATATGGTGCATTTGGAGCCAAAACATTTTAATAAAAAATTACCACATCAGCATCATGTTTTCTGCTTTAATAAGGTAAAAGGGATTGGCTATAAAGAGAGTAGCCCATTTACTTATATAGTGATATCATGTCTTTTCCAGCATCAATGTAGAAATGAGATTCTTAATAATCCCTTGCAAGTCCAACGTATTTTTTGGGTTGAACTTGGCCTGTTTTTTTAACCTAGGCACTGCCTTACGTCTCAGCCCTATTTTTTTTGGGGCTTTTTGGAGTCCGAATGTCGACGGACTTGCTCTGATACCATACAGAAGCCCATGAAATCCTTAAATAAATTAAGTCACTATATTAAGTGATTATCAAACAGAGCCTTATTTATAATTTCCACACATTGATTGAATAAAGCAATTTTTGAAATTTTTTTTTCACCGTTGAATCTTACCACATTATTAACTATCTTATCCATATAACTTTTTTTTTTAAAAAAAAAAGAAAGATAAGTGAAGGTAGAACTTAATTACTAAAAGATAATCACAGTTTTGAAAAAACAACAATTCGTTTCATAGTCTAATGTAAGGTATTTCTATTTTGGAATGTAGACTTAGGCCTGTTTGATAAAACCACTTGATGCTTAAAATTAATGGATTAAGCATTTTTGCAATTCATCGTGTTTGATAAAAAAAAAAAAATCTCTTAATGAATTAAGTGGTACTGAAACTGCAGTACAAAATATAAGTAATAAAAGATATCTTATTGCTTATTTCGTAACTGCTTAATGAATTCAATATTTCTAATTTAGCATTAAGTATTCAGAATTAAGCACTAATTTTTATCGGCCTGTTCAATAAAGACAAATAATACTTGAAATTATTAGATTAAGTATTTTTTCATTTCAGCTGTTTGATAACAAAAAATGAACCTCTTAATGAATTAAGTGGTGCTACAACTGCATTATAAAATATAAGTAATAAAAGTTAGTTTATTACTTATTTCGTAACTACTTAATAAATTCAGTATTTCTAATTTAGTGTTAACCATTCAGAACTAAGTAATAATTTTTATCAAAAAGGAGTTTGAGATCCACCAACTTATAGCCGAAATGTTTTTAAAAAATTTGTTTCATCCACTTAATGCAAAGATACTCCCTCAGTCCCACAAAATAGTCCATATTGAGTTTTGAGTTTTGAGTTTTATACTATTTTTGGTACAAATTTTAAAACTCAATGTGGACTATTTTTGTGGGACGGAGATGGTGTTTTCTTTTTTTTTTTTTTTTGGTGAAAATTATACTTATGTGTGTGTGTGTGTGTGTGTGTGTGTGTTGAAATTTTGCAACTTTTATAAATTTAGTTAAGATTTTTGAAAAATTTCAATTATGTGCACTGGTTGAAGGATCAAAGAAAAACAAAAGAAGCCTTTGTTTCATTTGATTTTCTAAATAAAAATATTGGGCATGATATTGAATTTAAAATTATTTAGTCATGTGTATTTTTTTCCTACCATTGGGGGACACCTACTAATAAAAAAAAGAAAAGAAAAAAGAATTTCATTAGTAAAAAATAACCTCATTCTTCATATATACGAAAAGAAATAATATGAATTTAAACATTATAATCTCCACAAATCTGTTTTACGGTTGACAAAAATTACACACAGAACACACTCATCAAAGGGACGCAAAAAATAATAAACAATAAAAATACTACCAATCAGTTAAATCGAAAAATTACACAACACACGATGATATCAAACGTTGACATTTTCATCCAAAGATTAATTTGATGATGGCGAGTCCTTTTCGATTAAAACAGTTTAACGTTGCATTCCTCCTTGATGAGAAACTGGAGCAATTGCCACTCCTCTTGCCTGCTTCTCCATATTCCCTTGCCATCCTAGTTATTTGTAACAGTCAAAGAATAATTAAAATTATATAACAAATACGGACACAAAACTCTTTACTTATTAAAAAAGAAGTGAAGGAAGTTCGATTTTAAGTAAAAAAAAAAAATAATGTGGAGCAAATTTACCGATGGACATGTCGAATCCGCGATTTTTGAGCTCGCGGTGTTCTTGACACAAAGCGCAGGTATCACAGCAGAAATGAGCAAGGCAATCTCCACAAGGGCTTTCCGGTAAATTGCACTGCTTCCTCATTTTGGTACGATAGAAACCAGAGTATATGCAGGCACATCCAGTTATCACGCTTATAAATGTGTAGAGCGCTTCAATTGGTCCACAAGCTGTACAAATTGCACATAATTAAAATTACTTAATCGTTCTGACATGCTACTCCCTCCGTCTCATAATTTTTTCATAATTATTTGCATGTACACTTAATTATTTGGACTATTAAAATAATTTGGATAATTGAAAAAGAAAGTTTATTAGTAGTGATTTTGAAATGGATAGGTTATTTCATCTACTTACAAGTTGATCCTTGGTCGACGATTTCTGCAATCTGCCCAAAAGTGATGCATGGACACCAATATGTTAGGCAACCTGCAAAAACAAAGGAATAGTACAGAGTTTAATGGACATACATTAATCCCTTGTCCCAAAAACCCTAAAAACGAACCATATATGATTCGAAAATAGAATTTTGTTGCAGATGTTTTGATCAAGTGTAGTTCCTACTACACGAGTTTAGTTATTTACTTGTTTGAAATGAAAATGAAAACAAAATTATTGAAACATTTAAAATACAAAGTTAAAGAGATAAATCTTTTGGATTATGCCATAACGAAACTAGACCAGGCTGCGCGTTAACAACAAAATATTCCACCAAAAAAATCATCAAAAGCTAAAACCAACACACACTGAATCAAAAAAATTACTTACAATTTGGGACATCGGAGAAGCAGTCGCAGAGGCCAGATGACCATTCACCAGGAACGTTAACGTGTTGATCATGATACTGATTATTTTGATATGGAGAAGACATGATTCTTATCTAGCTACGTAAGTAAGTTTCTTTTTCTTGAATCTGATGAAGCTGACAATTTAGTTTGTAATTACTACTAGTTTGTATTTCTCGAGTGATGTTGTGGGGAGCTATATACTAGATCATGCCATTGTCTGAACACACGTATTAGTAAAAAGTGCAGAATTTCAACCGAAAAATATTAGCCGCCCAAAAAGAAAAAGAAAAACCAATATGTGTTAACCCAAAACAACCCGGTTTATATTGAACTGACTACATTTGAATAATCATAGGTAAACGATCAGACCGGATGAATAGTGAAGATTAACTCGTGCTATTTTTCGTTTTACAAAGTAACAGTGAGTTACTTGGAATTTAACTTATAATCAATGTGATTTTCTCTTTTCATTTTTTTTTATACATTACAATTTGATAATCATTGAACTCTGAATCTGAACACTTAACACTTAACATTGAAGTCTGAAGTCTAAAAACGGAATTTACATTGTTTGATAACAACGTCTGAATTTGATGTCTGAAGACTAAAGTCTAAGGACTGAAGTCTGAAGTCTGAAGACTGAATCTGAATACACAGGTCTGAAAGTTATTTAAAATTTTAATATCATTAAAATTGAATTATAAACAAAATTCTTTTAAATAAAAAATAACTAATATTTTGTTCTAAATAATAAAATAATAATTTTAAAATAAGTTTTTGGTATATATAATGAAAGTAGATATTACACTTGCTAAGTAATCAATATATAATAAAATTTGGATTATTTACATATATCAATATATATGTATACATTTTTATTTAGCAAATTTTATGTATTAAAATTAGTTTAATTTGAGTTTGAAAGTTTGAGATTTTTTATACTCATAATATAAATTCAAATTTAATCACTCTTAATTAATTTATCTTAATAAAATAAAAATTTTAAAATAATGTAATTAAAAATAAGCGTCGAAATAAAGACGAGGGAAAAAGGGAGAAAAAAAAGAGTCATTACAGAAATTAAGTGTTAAGTAATAGGTGGTAGGCCTGGCACTTATTTTCTGACTCATAATTGAACTGACCATTCAGACATACTTAATTAATTCAGATGGTGAAATTTTAATTATCAAACGCATTTAATTTATAAGTATTTAATTAGTTCAGCATTTAATTCATTAAGACTTTTTAGTAGCCATTATCAAACACACTTTGGATTCGGCTTAATATATATTCGGATTCGGCTTCAATTTGCACTTTGGATGTCTTCAGGGCTGATGGGAGGTACAATGATATTGCCATGTTGAAGACGTGATAAAATTACTGATATATCCATTATGTTTCATGCCAACCCAAAGTTGGAACATGCTGATTTGAAAAATAAAACTCGGATGCGAAGCTTGGAATTATGGTTTGCAGAGGATGGCTGTGATGCAGAGATGGTGGAATCTGTCAATGCCTTACAACCACCGCCGAGCTTAGAATTGCTCAAGCTTAATGGGTACAGAGGACTCGAACTGCCAGAGTGGATAGTCACATCACTTTTTAGTACATTAAGAAGGCTTGCTATAAGATCTGCTCCAAAGATCCTCTTTTTGCCTGTTGGTTTGTGTCAATTGACATTCCTTGAATTTGTCTGGTTTTATGACATTCCAAAAGTAAAACATTTGGGTCGAGACTTCTTTGGATTGTCTGAGAATCAAATGGAGGGTGGAGTGCGGCAAAGCAATGATGTGGCGGGTCGAGACTTCTTTGGATTGTCTGAGAATCAAATGGAGGGTGGAGTGCGGCAAAGCAATGATGTGGCGTTCCCCGGTTTAAAGACACTTCAAATGGAATACATGGAACGAAAAGAAGTACTCCCTCCGTCCCATATTGATTGTCCAGTTTGAGTTTTCATTTCTAGTTCAAATTGTACTAAAAGTGAAATCTCAAATTGAACAATAATTTTGGGACAGAGGGAGTACATCATGCCACAGCTGAAGGAGCTATACATTAATGACTGCAGAAAGCTAGATGTACAGTGCAGGTTCTTACCCATGGCATACATGGAAACATACCATCACTCCATATTTCAATAAACAAAGATAAGTTGATGTCGTACTCAACTCTTATGACCAATCTCCCCACAAAGGAGTTCAACTACTCTCGCAAAGGGAAAGATCCCATTTGAAGAGGTGAACTTGCATTTTTTTTTTTTTTTGGCTTAACAGAGAGCTTTGGAATTTCATATCAATTTAACAGCATCTTCCTTCCTTAGGCAGGCATTCACCAGATTTTCAGCAAAGCAGGACGCGGAGGTAGGGAGAGCTGGAAGTGCTCAATGTTATTTGCCTGTGAATTGGCTTAATCTGCGTCTCAAAACCACTTATCTTGTAGGTTCATCATCTTCGTATCTCTTGCTTGTGTGATAGCGTTCTATCCTCTGTGGAATTTGATGGATCAAATGTTCATTTTAGATGCCTCCAAAACTATGTTAATTCTGAGTAATTCGTTGAATGATTTGGTTTAGATGTACATATCATCTTTCGGTCTTTATATAGCTATAGTAATTTCTCTTCAAGCAAAGAAAGAGATTTCAACACAAATTGTTGCTGCCTTTCGGTTCAGGGCTTCACCTTGAGGATCGGCAATAAGCAAGCTTCTCGCATTTAGAAAGCCCTTTAAGTGGAAAGCTACTTCAAGCTCGTTTATCAATTTCTTAGAAATTCATTCCTTAGGTTTATCGGTTATGGCCTTAAGGCCCTTGACCTATGGGATTGGGAACAACTTTTATTCTCTTAGAGTCTTTTTATTTGAGACCTTCGACCTGAGTCCTAGGCAACAGATTTTTAAATGTGGATGGCTTGCCAACATTTGAACATACAAGCCAATGGCAAATTTTTATTTTTTATTTTTTGAACCCCGTCCTTTATTTGATGAGTTAAAGAAGATGCAAAGGTTACATCATTCTAACAAAACCTTTGGGCTTCCGCAACTTTATTTTATTACGAATTAAGCCAACTCCTCGCAGTGTTATTTTGCAATTTTACATGAACCGCACCTGCAAAGATTAAAAAGAAAAGGAAAAACACAATTATAAGTGTAGTTTGTGTAAGAAGTTGCATTGCAAATTATTAAAAGGGGGAAAAAAAATTTCTGAGTTCTTCTAAGTTTGGTACTACTAGACAGAAGATTTGGATTTGTTATACCACGAAGAACCAGATCTTTACTCAAAGACTTTTTCGATCGATTTATCGATATGCGTGTTTTTTAAATTTAAAATGACTTACAAATTGAAATAGAGGGAGTAGCTTGAAACTTGGAAAAATGTCAAGTTATTGTGGAGGTGAATGATTTGAGTGTTGTCCATAACGTCGAGAAAAATGAGTTGGTCAGTTTACATTGGCGAGGACAATCAGACATGTTTTTCGTAAAACTAATTTCAAGGTAATTACCTAATATCATCAATTCTTACCTGCTTACCTATCCCTTAGGTTTGCAGCGGTTGGAAGAGCCACCATCTAAGTGAAGATTGGGACACCATATTGTCGGGTCTCTGGTCATCTACACATTTTAATTTGAGTTTTTGTCGGCAAGCTCAATGACTTCTTTGCAAATAAATAAATAAATAAATAAGATTATAATCTCAACTATATATCCATCCCGCTGAGTCAGCTTACATGAAGGATAAAGTACACATATTAATTATTATTCTGTCCCAATACTTTTCCTTTAACAAAATAATAAAACAGTTCAAACTGTTTTTTTTTTTTTTATGAAAAATCATTTCAAGATGGAGAGACTAAAAGAGTGAGAAATGACTTTTTTGATGATGGAAGGATATATCACAATAGTGATTTGTTCCATCGGACTTGATCATCAATTCAAACCCCGTTTGACCCTTTAAACTTTAAAGCATAGCATTTTCTTTTTTCTTAAGTCAAAGTCTGAAATACTAAATTATAGTAATAGCAAAAATTTACTGTCAACATCCAATAAATACACTGCAGTTTCACAATCTTCCAATATTGACGTAGCAAATTTCACAATCTAACTCTTTTAACTGGTAAAGCATGGCATTTTAACTTTACTCGGTTTAATATTGGTTCTTAACTGGGGTGGATAATATATATTTCGGTTGAAATTTCCACACTTTCACGAACACGTAAATACCTGTCCATAATTACTTCATCAAAATCAACAAGAAGAAAACTCCTCAGCTTATCATTTTTTCTTTTCTTCTCTTTTTTTTTTTTTTTTGTTTTTTGACAACTCCTCGGCTTAATTCATGTGTCTTTGTCCTTCAAGAAAAAAAAAATTAAAATAAAAATCTAAAGCAGTAGCTAAGATAAGAAATGGCTTCATCATATCCGAAAAATTAATACGATGAAACTCGTGTTGTATGGACGTTTAAGCGAAAACTAGAAACTTGGAGAGACTCAACCATTTTCTAAGATCCAAGTATTCTAGTAGAATATCTCAGTCAAACTTGTTTAACCTGAAATTCAGTACTCGATCGGGCTCATTACATGCATGTTTTACATTTGAGCAATTTTGTCCGGCCGGAAATATGAGCTCCATTACGTCAATGAAATCAAATGAATATTTAATTTATTATTAAATAATAAAATAATATTAAAAAAATTATTTAAACAGGAAGCGAAGATGAACAATTTAAACTGGTCAAACTAAACAAACAGGTAGATGTAATGGATGCCAAAAAATATATTACAACGCATTTTTTTCAGGCATTTTACAAAGATAGCTAGCTAGTTCATTTTGTAGTACTATTTTAGTTTAATAAATTGTTTTATTTTCCTGAGTACATGAAATTTGAAATAACCAATACTGATAAATAGGAATTAGCAATATTTGAGAAAGGATCCATCGGCCACGATTGAATATAATAAAAACCCTCACCATTTACAAGGTACTTTTGTTCATTCTTTTTCATGTCTAATATGAGTTGCGACAAAACATCCGAGTCAATTTTGTTGAATTATTCCAAATGCTATCTTATTCTGTCAACATGCATTGAACTGCCTCTGCTGGTAGAAGACTTCAATCGATTTTTTTTTACCAATTATCTTCATCGATTGCGTTAGCCTTGAATGTTTAAAAAGCTCCCTATCATCATTGTATAGGTAATGTCAATTTTATTTAATTACAGGAGAACGAAAAAGATTTAGTGCTAATAAAATTCAAATTCGTGATTTTTTTAATACAAAATTCTAAGTATCTTAACAAGTGGATCAATATATAGGATCAACATATATAAAATACTTAATGAAACTTTTTATGCAGTTAGTACTCGTAATGTTGAAAAAATCCACTTGACAAATCCATTTGAAAAGTCAGTCCTAATTATTCAACATGTAATAAGTTAATAATAATAGTAACAATTTTTTCTGCATTAAAATCATTTTCTCAGACTTGGAGTCGTTGAGAGCCAACGTGTGTGTGGCTTACGGATTGACCGATCAATTTAATCTTTAACCAGAGAGACCGGACCGGAACAGAACAAGTCATTAGTAGGACCACGACAGCTTCAATTGGTCCAATTTTGTCTGGTTTAACACGTAGTCATTGACTATTACTACTTCTCAAACTTTTCTATAAAGTGACTCGTTGTAGCAAGTGTTCATTTTTAATTTATTTATTTTGAATCTGCTATACAGGGTGATGAACCGGTTCGCCCGTAAATTGACTTGGTCCAAATGTATGTAGGAAACAATCAAGCGAATGATCTATTGTTTGCTCTTATAACAATAATCAAACCCTAAATAAATTGTAAGAAGTACTCCTTCCATCCCATAATTATTTTCCAGTTTATATTTTCATTTCTAGTTCAAATTGTACTAAAAGTGAAATCTCAATTTGGACAATAATTTTGAGACAGAGGGAGTAATTCGATATTCAAGCAAAAGAGGAAACTTTAATTTCCATTTCGATCACTCTTTTTGATAGATGTTTTTTCATTACGTTTCAAATAAATATGTACCAACTGTTAGGATCTTTGTGCTTAGGAATTGAAGTATTGATAATGGCTACAATGGGCCATGGCAGTAATAATATATGGCAATGGTAATCTTTATTAGAAAAAAAAAATTATTGACTTGGTTCATGTATATATATTTTGTTTCGTAATAAAGTAACTCTAAGTTATAAAAAAAATTATTTTAAAAAAAATCACATTGCTTATAAGTTAATTAGCTAAGTTCCAAGTAACTCATTGTTGATTCATTACGCTGCCGGTTCAAATCAAAGAAAAAAAAATTACTCTGTAAAATGAAAATTAGTTGAGTTAATCTTCAATTCATCCGGTCTACCCTTTAAGCTGTGACTATTCAAATGTAGTCAGTTCAGTATAACCCGGTTGGTTTGGGATTAACACATACTCCCTCCGTCTCATGATTATTGTCTAGTTTGAGTTTTTATTTTTAGTTCAAATTACACTAAAAGTGAAATCTCAAACTGGACCATAAGTTTGGGAGAGAGAGGGAGTATTAGTTTTTTATTGGGCGGCTATTGTTTTCAGTTGAAATTTCAGCATTTTTACTAATACGTGTGTTCAGACAATGGCATGCTCTTATACATCTATATCTATATATATAGCTCCCACAATATCACTCGAGAAATACAAACTGACTAGTACGAGAGAAGAATTACGAACAAAATTTTGCAGCTTCATCATATCCTATCCCAAGATAAAGATCTTACTTACGTAGCTAAATAAGGAAATCATGTCTTCACCATATCAAAAAAATCAATACCCTTATCATGATCAACAGTACTCCAATGTTCCTGGTGAATGGTCAACTGGCCTCTGCGACTGCTTCTCCGATGTCCCTAATTGTAAGTCATCTTCTTTTATTAAAAAAAAAAAATGTGATTTTTTGATTCAATGTTGGTTAGATATATGGTAAGCCATTTAATCGTTGATTTTAAGTTTGATGCTAGTTTTTCGGTTTAATTTTATTATTAGCGTTCAGTCTAGTCCATTTTCACTATAACATACATGGATATGATTTCTCTAATATAACTAGTATTGTAATTGTTTCAATCATTTTGCCTTCATCTTCATCGCCCAAAAGTAAGTGGTTGTCTGGGATTTAATTATGGATCAATTCTTTAGCGAAATTATATTTTTCCAATCATCTTTTGAGGTTTTTTGGGACAAGGGATTAATGTAAAATTGACCAAATCAAACTGTGTGTGCTATTTCTTTGTTTTGCAGGTTGCCTAACATGTTGGTGCCCTTGCATCACTTTCGGACAGATTGCAGAAATTGTCGACCAAGGATCAACATGTAAGTAGATGAAATAAACATAATACTCTATACATCCATTTCAAATTTACTAGTAATTAGCTTTCTTTTCCAAATATCCCAAAATTCATAACTTCAAAATCTTTCATTTTCTTAATGCATTTGTGACCGACTATTAACAACTGATAATTTCCATTCGTTGTAGTAGTTTCCGATATTGAATTATCTGGTTGTATAAGTTATAAGTTTGGAGGAGCTTTACCACAGAAATGATAATTTATATTTTAATAGTCCGAATAAATGTACTTATAACGAATTTTGAATATATTAACGTAAAAAATAGAATAAACTTTTCACATTTATATTTGAGACGGAGTGAGTAACATATTAAAATGATTAAATAATTTTAATTATGTATAATTTGTACAGCTTGTGAAGCAAGTGGAGCACTCTACACACTTATAAGTCTGGTAACTGGATGTGCCTGCATATACTCTTGTTTCTATCGTTCTAAGATGAGGAAGCATTACAATTTACCTGAAAGCCCTTGTGGAGATTGCCTTGTTCATTTCTGTTGCGAGAGTTGTGCTTTGTGTCAAGAACACCGTGAGCTCAAAAATCGCGGATTCGACATGTCCATTGGTAAACATACTTCACACATTTTCTTTCGATCTTCCTTGGTATTTTCTTTCTCGAAAAGTAAAGAGCCGAGTTTTGTTATACTGTTTTAGTTAATGAACGAAAAATATCGACAAGAATTAATTATTTTTGTTGACTGTTACAAATAACTAGGATGGCAAGGGAATATGGAGAACCAGGCAAGAAGAGGAGTGGCAATGGCTCCAGTTTCTCAACAAGGAGGAATGCAGCGTTAAACTGTTTTAATCAATGGAGTCGTCAATCGTCACCAAATTAATATGAATGAGAATATCAAGTTATGAAAATAAACTGTGTTGTGTAATTTTTCGATGTGATTGATGAAAAGTTGGGATTGGTAGTTTTTTTTTTTTAATTAAAATTATTATTTTGTCCCTTTGATGGGCATATTCATTGTGTAATTCATATTATTTCTTTTTTCGATATGAGGAATGTTGTAATTTATTTACGAGTGAAATTATTATTATTTTTCGTTTTTTAATAGAAGTTTATTACCTCGCATAATGTATTATACATAAGTACTCTCAATTGTAACCTTTATACATGTCCATCATCGATGATATGTCTTTTGAATCATTTGGTTAATTGAGGATGGTCACAAACTATTGAAATTAAAAATTAAACATATTAAAATTCATTTTTTTTTAATGTTAGTTACTCCTATTCCTTATAAAAAATACATTTTTTCATTTATCCTAAATTTTATTTATTATTATGGTTTCTCAATTGAAAATGAAACTTTAAAAACATTATTTTGGAAAAAAAAAACACAATAAGTGAAATTTAAGAAAAAATAAAATGCTTTCATAATAAGGACCGGAGGGAGTATTACTTATCAAAAAATTAGTACAATACTAGTATTTTGGAAACAAAAAAAACATTATTTTAATAATTAAAAAATATTCAAAAAAAAAAAGTGAAAACCTATAATCATTTTTGCACTTTTGAGCATGTAGCCTCATGCTTTAGGCCCAAAGAAGGAAAGAAACCCATCATTACAAGAAAACTAAGGCCCATAGTATAAAACCACAGGAAAAAAAGAAAGGACGTTAAGCCATTGATTCTGTCTTTTAGAGTTGCCACTGAAACTTCCGGCCGCAATATGCAGCTGTCTCGTCGTTGATTGCTGTTTGGAAAAATCTGCCGCTTCTTCTTCAATTCTTCTAACAAAGGTAAACCCATTGCGCTTTAACCCATTTTTCTTTTCCCCCAACTCTCCGATTTCCCCTTTTCTGCTTAGTTCGTTTATACAGAAGAATCTTGTTGCTGTTTTACTGTTTTTAAGGAAGAGGGAAAAAAGAACCCAGAACTAAAATTTACTGATTGTGTGAGGGGAGTAAAGGTTTATCATTTATGGGATTGATTCACATACCTTGGTTATTTGCCAATTGTCAAAAGCTTGTTATAATTATTGCAAATGTTGGAGCAGAAGGGCTTGTTTCTGTAAAATTTTAATGTTTTGTTTATGTCTTTGTTTCTATTTTTTGGTGAATTAGGATTTTAGTAAGGAGAGATGGACCTAAACCATACCATGGTGGCTGATGTCCGAGGTTCAGAACCTGTGGAATTTGCAGATACTGCTTCTGATGTTGAATACATTAAAGTTCAAGTTGATCACATGGTCTCGAAGGTTGATCAGGTAAGAAATTCTTTTTTAGTGAAGCTTGTACCATGGATCCAGAAGCATGGCGTTATTATTTTAATGATGTTGTGCAATTGATTTAATTGATTTTGGGTCAGCATTGGTGAATGTTGTACTGAGATTGAAATCGATTTCTTTATTTGATACTTAATTTTTGGGAGTTTGGGAGGGAGGAAGGATGTTCCATCATTCCGCTTACGTGTTAGCTGTGACGTTGTTAACTGCAGCGAATTTGTAATTACTTCTCTTGTGGTTTTAAAGATATCATTGGAGCCTGACCTTCGTGAAACGGCTTTCTATACTTCTGCAGTTTGAAAAACTACTTAATGGCATTGAACAATTCTACTCAAATGCAAATAAAAAACAGCAAAGTGCCAGTACCACAAGAGGTGCCTCACTTCTGAAAGATAAGGACAAACAACTGGCTAGCTTTAAAAGAAGACAGCAGGATGCAGCACGTAGAGAAGCAGCTGCAGCCAAGAGAATGCAAGACCTTATGAAACAAATGGGCACAATTATTCGGCAGGTGTGGATGGTCTTGTGCGAAATCCTTTCCTGGTGCTCCTGAATTAACCGAAATTTCAGAACTGTTTCTTTAGCTGATTATTCTAACTTTGATTGTGAGTTCAGTTGCGTGTCCTGAATGACGTCTGTGGGATCACAATATCCTAGGATATAGTTCGATAACCACTTTGTCCGGATGTTCTCTTGCTCTTGTAGAATGTAAAGATAGGAACAAGGAACATGATATTTTCTGGATTTGCACTCACTTTTTAGATACAACTTTACTTTCTGTGGGCCAAAGCTCTCTTGTTCATGGAGTACTTGGATCAATATCACTCTAACTGGGAAAGTTCTTCGTTTTTTGGGTGCCTCTGTTTCTTTCTTTGGGATATTGATGTTAGTCCATACGTGGAAGATAGTTCCAAATTAGCCCGTCTTTATAGGTGACATTAAAGAGAGATTCAGTAAAGCATGATTGTAAAGTTGACTTATAATTCACTGACAGGTTACTTCTGCTCAAACGAAGTTAAGTGATGGTTTAATTTTGATACTATAGGGGTGTACATGGTCGAAATGAAGTTTGAACTGTGAAGTTTTATTTGCAAACATACTTTCTTAACAGTTCTTGGGAGTTGTACATTATTGGCAGGAAGTTCTTAACAGCAGTTTCCTTATATTTTTTTGTTATATGTTGTTTTTGGGTCCTGGATAGCTGAAATGTATGTGTAACTTTTGCTTTGTTTACCCACAGATCACTCAGAGCAAGTTGGCCGCACCTTTTATGGAGCCGGTTGATGTTGTAGGGCTTGAATTGCACGACTATTATGATGTAGGTGTTTCACCTTTTGGCTTTATCTACTGCAACATGTATGATTGCAGCATCAAATTGGATCTGACATAAACAAGATACTTCGAACCTCAGAAAGACGTGCATTTAAAAATATATATATCCTGATACATGAAATATGCATATGCTCACAGTCCCACACTTGTTTGACTTTGTATTGAGAATATGACTTACCTGTTTGTCTTTGACGAAAGAAGTGAAAAAGGTATTTTCATTTATTTGGTTGTCCTGAAATCTGTTTGTAACTGATTTGACAGCTTCTCTAGTTTATTGCTGTTATTTGTGAAGCTTCTTAGTCATTTTGTGCAGTAATTTTATTTCTATCATTGCTCCAGATTATTGAGAAACCCATGGATTTCAGCACAATTAAAAGCAAAATGGAAGCCAAGGATGGTACTGGGTATAAGAACGTACGTGAGATATACTCAGATATTAGGCTGATTTTTAAGAATGCGATGACATATAATGATGAAAGGGAGGACGTGCATGTAATGGCCCAGGCATTGCTGGGGAAATTTGAGGAGAAATGGATTCAATTACTGCCAAAAGTTGATGAAGAGGTACACAGCGTTATGAGATGGATTCCTCTTGGATTGAATGCTTTCTTAAATAATTATTTCTTGCGGGTGTAGAATATTTCATTTATGTACATCGGGAAGCTTCATTTCCTTTCAGTATGGATTCATTTTTTGAACTTCTAATTTGTAGGACAAAAAGCGTGAAGAAGAGGAAGCAGACTCTCAGTTTGATATGCATCTAGCACAGGAGGCTGCTTATGCCAAAATGGCTAGGGATCTAAGCATTGAGGTTTTCAAAGAGTTTTTTAAGTGAAATTGTTCTGTGAAAGAATTCTTTACATTTATTATGGGGAGATCTGAACTTTCTTCTCTAGATTTCTTCCCAATTTTAATTCTGGTAAATACTGAATGATTTTTTCAATTTGTTTCTAGCTAGATGAGGCAGATATGCATCTGGAAGAACTTAGGGAACATGTACTAAGAAACTGCAGGTTAGTGATAACAAGTTACCTACATTTGGTTATCCTATTGAAAAATCTCTTCCAAGTTCCAACGTTTTGAAGGGAGTTTTGAAGGCTTCCCAAGATTTAATATTTATTTCTGCGAGAAAACTTTTCAGTTATGATTCCTGAATAAATCAAAATCATTTATGAAACTTTAATGTACTCTTTCATCATGTGTAAGCTATCTTTAGATTCATTACTATTATTTAATAAAGTCTCCACCAAAATGGCAGGATTACTGCCATATTTTATTTTATTTTTTGGAAAACTGTTATTGCAGTGTAGTTAGAAAGTGATGCCCAGCGACGTCAAAGTTTTGATCTCAATCTCTTAACCGCATCCTAGAGGAAGTGTGTTTATTGAATAATAATGATTAAAAAGTCCGTCAGACACCTCCCCCTTCTGTAGTTCACTGCAGAGCACTTATTGGCCTAAGTGTTGCAAATTTAATCTGTTTAAAGTGGAACTGTTAAATATTTCTTTTCCTGGGTCGTAAACATCCTTTGTTTGGCTTTCTCAATGCAACTTGGTATATCAAGTTATATGTGTATCATGTGGACCTAATTTCAGGAAGATGTCTACTGAAGAGAAAAGAAGACTTGGTGCTGCCCTCACCCAATTGTCTCCTGAAGATCTAAACAAAGCTTTGTTAATCGTTTCTCAAACTGATCCAAGCTTCCAAGCATCAGCTGAAGAAGTATTTCTTGACATGGACGCTCAGGTCACTTGGTTTCCACTTTCTAATTTTGAATTTTCATTCCTCTCTTCATCTGCGCAATATTTCTGCTGACACAATCTGAACTCGGATTTTCGCAGAGTGAGTCCACTCTGTGGAAGCTTAAGTTATTTGTAAAAGAAACTCTGCAGACGGGCAAGACTCCTGCAAGTGCTGGGGGACCTAACAATACAAACAACGCGAACAACAATAGCAACAGCAACAATAACAAAAGGAAGAGAGAAATTTCTGTTGCCCTTGCCAAAACCAATCAGAAAAAGGCCAAAAAGCCCTGTGTCTAGTTTAGCGTATCGATGTAGTGCCCTGGACTTGCTATATAGCCTTACTGGTCGTTTTCAATCTTGTAAATCAAACTGAAGGTCTCATAAGATACAATATGGCCCCTATGACAGGTATGGGTTGTAGCCAAGGTGGAGGGGATTTTTTTTTTTCCCTGGTTTGTTCTTGTAGAGCAATGTTTTTAACCCAGCAGGAATGAATTGAAGATTTTCATTTTACTGACGAGAAAGTAGGCTTCTTGATACATTGATGGTCGGTCTTTTTATGGTGGTCAATGTAATATATATGTACACAATGTGATATTACTAATACAACTGTAGAGACGTTTTTAATGCTTTCTTATTTCAGAAATTTCATATCAGAGTGAGAATTTTGTTGGGTAATTATCTTCGACATCATAGATGAACACTGTGTAACATACTAGCACTTAGTATTGTCTTAAATGACCTGTTTTTAACCTTTTGTCATAGGCAGTATTTCTTTTGGCTCTGATCAAATTAAGCTTAATTTACGTAACTTTGTAAAGATTCACAATTAGCAACTGAAATAAAAAGGCAAAGAATAGCTTCCTCCATGGGTTAAAAGAAAAAAATGTTTACTGATGCTACATATTTTACGGAGAAGTCATGCTTTAATGTAAAAGAATAATTCTGAACTTGTGCCAAATTTAAAGGAAAGAACTGAATCAGCCAAAAGTGACAAATGGGCAAAGGGATTAAGAATGGTGATTAAAGTTCAAAGGAAAGAATTGGATTAGCCAAAAGCAAAAGCCAAAAGCAAAGAGATAAAAAAAAAATGGTGTTATGAAATTAACGTTATACTACTAATATGAAACTAAGCATAAGAACAAAGAGAAAAAACAAGAAAATATAGAGAGATAAGAGACTTGTATTCAGATCTATTTTGAAGCATGAATGAGCTTCCTATTTATACAAGAAATAGAGGATCAAACTGTGAGAAATGAATCACCTATCATTAATACTAAATATTACAGAATCATATCTCATTGATTGTGAATAGAATAATACATGTTAGTTATGGACATTCAATCAAATCAAATCAAATATTTCATAACACTCCCCCTTTGAATGTCCATGTTTGCGGAATAATGCCTCGTTGAAACCTTACTAAGAAAAACCATTTGGGATAAAACCCTAGTGAAGGAAAAAGAGTACACTTCCTAATGTGACGCTGCCTCATTAAAAACCTTGTCAGGAAAACTTATTGGGACAAAACCTTGATCAAGGGAAAAAGAGTACAGTGTGGGTTACTCCCTCTGTTAAGTACGCCACTTGTAATCTTCTCGTTGCATGCCAAGCTATTGATCAGGTTCATGATTGTTTAAGTCAATAATAGACAGATTACTTCGATTTCTCATGTAAACGGTTGTCTTCATATACCTGAGTGTTTTATAATAATGGAGATGCATTACCATTATACCTTGTATGTATCAATATACACCATCTAAGTCTTGACTAATTAATTAGATAAACCGAAACTTTATATGGTACTTCAGGACGAAATCGGTCTACATCATTAATAGAAAGTCAAGAACAAGGATGTATATGAACATCAAGATTTCAATCAAGTGCGCTCAACGGGTGTTGAATATACAAAGTTCAAACTATTTAGACCGAGATTCTACTCAAAATCTTTCATTATCCTTACTTCAGGCAAGTAGCAATCTTTTGAACTTCCTTAGAAGTGTTAAAAACACTGATATAACTCTTCAGGAGTTTTACTATTATTCAGACTATTCGAACATCGTGATAAGTTTCGATAATATTCAGCCTTTTGAAACTCTACAAGAGTTCGGTACTAAGAAAATTGTAAATACACATATGGCTTATGAATACTCACCCAAGTATTAGTTATCATCCTATCATTCAAATATGATCATAAAAACAGATTGGAAAATCACAAACAATCATGTTACAAACAAACATAACATATCTAGATAAAAACAAACATGGCATATCTATTATATTCAAAAATATGAACCTAAATATCTAGAAGCATGAAGACATTATAACTAGCGCAAGTCCTTTGAATTAATTTCTCGAGAAATGGGATCATGTCACTTTATTTTTAATCCTTGGGAGATTTCATATTGACCCCATTATTAAGTATCACGTATTAAGTGATCACTATAATCAAGAAACGCATTTCTTATCTTCATTTGCTACTAGATTAGCAAATAACAAAAGATTTTCCTTTTCATCCACCACAAGATAAATCGGACTTTGGGAAAAACTTGTGCAACAAAGAGGTTGCTCGATAATCTTTTGCACAATCACCCGTCAAAATCTAACCCGTATATCACTTGCCCTTCGAGTTCGCAAGCAATTTCAATTCTAAGTACACATTGTCAAGTGTGTATTGCGTCCTTTCATATGGTTGTGACCAATAAGTTTAATGTCTGCATCTACAACAAACTTTCATTTCATGATCTTCATTTTCATTTATTTTACTGCTGCAGCATAAGCAATTTTCATGTCGAAATTTTATTGCTAATCGATTCTATGTTCTTTGTTAATGAGATCTCACAATCATTAAGGTTCCCAAGTATTCATATACTTCCTCTGGAAGTTAATTCACCGTAATAGGAAACTATTCTAGTTCAAAATTCTTATGAATTATAATCACTCGTATTGCCATCTCTATAGATTTAAACCTTGTCATTTACGAGGATTTTTATCATTTGAAATCAATGGTTCTACCACTCATCAAATGGACATTCAACTAACAAATAGTGGTAAGTAGTCCTTCAGGGACACATTATCAAATTTTTAACGGTCTTTTATGTAAGATATATTTATACATTCGGTCAGATAAACATCTGGTCTTAAACATTATCTCTCGAACTTCAGGTTCATATCATTGAGGATCATAATGAGATAAACATTGTCCATCTGATTTTATAAAAATGTTGTTTTAACTTCTCCCCTTGATGTTGGGATAACTAACTCGCTAAAACGACGATTAACCAACCGAGCAGTTAATAATCTTCCTTTTGAGAGTAACTAACTCGTCAAACTAATACGATCAGTCTATCAAGTAGTTAGTCCAACATCAATAATCTCAAACATTGGAGATTCAATATTCAACATATATTTCTGACCTCTTCTGGAGGTTCTATCATTGTGTGCATTGTGGTGGAATAATTATAATATAGATTGCACATGTAATCTTTAAAGATGGATATTTATGGTTTCTGACCGAAAAACACTGTTGGGGAGAATATCTGCAATGACATGTTTGGTCTTATGCATATAATTGGAGCCTTTTGTGTTTCAACACTTCCTCAACTATACATGAGGTAATTACTTTAATTGCATATGCAATAAACGATTCTACTAAACCACTTCATTATTGCTCTTATAGGCACTCAAATGTCCAACTTCTATCATTCTGGCATTAAGTCATACACTTATCACAATTGTCAAATCAAAATTCTCGTAAGAGCAGAACATGAAAATCTGCAAGTTATCAATTTAACTCCATAATAAAATTTCTGCAAACTTCAGGTTGCACATTAATGAAAATCATACATGTGGCTATCTCATCGACATATTGATTGATATTCTAATTTGTTGAAAGAAACTCTTGGTTCTCCAAATTTAATGCATATAAACTTTCTCGTTTCTTTTTGAAATCAGATTGGCTTAAGTAGTTATGCAAAATTATAGAATTTCTCTTCTGGAAAAAAATAATAAATTAATTATTCCAATATACCAGAACAATTTCGCTCCACATGAGTGTTTACTCTGACACAGTATTTGTTATTCAATTATTTTCATTCTATCATAGTGTTCTTACTCTTTTGAAAGCAAAGTGTATCGCTACTCTGCTGAAGATAACAATAAATTTTCAAATTCAAAATAGTTGTGTTGGTAGAGCAATTTACATCCTTCTTCGATACCTTGGAAAATATAATGTATCTCAATGCGCTTTCTCCTTCTAACATTCTCTTGCTCTTTTAGGAGCAAAGTTTGTTTACTATTTCTCTTCCAGAGGCAATGATGAATTATTATATTTTCTCTTCATGAGCATTTATTTGGTTTCACTCTCTTCATGAGCATTTATTTGCAATGATGAATTATTATATTTTCTCTTCATGGCATATGCTCTACTGAAGCTTTTAGTAGATTTCGTGTTTATCATTGACTAACATCTCCTTCAGGGCAATTAATAAAATTCACAATATCCACAGAGGTAATATGAGTTACACTATGTGCAAGGCATACTTTTGCCATTAATAAATTTAGATATTATTTTCTTCAAAACATGTAGATAGAAATATCAATTAAATAGTATCATTACTATGGTGGCCAAAAGACCACAATACCTTCAAGGTGTTTGACATATTGAACATTTTCATCTCTAAATTTTAAATCACCTTCAGGGCGTTTTACAAAAATTAAATTATGATTTATTAATTCATTGTCGACGAGACTAATGAAGTCGTCTACTATCAATAATATATTGAAGATATCAATAAGATAATTATGTGTATATAGAACATGTGAACCCAATGATTTTCTATGCCATAACGATAGTATTTGCAATATAGTACTTTTTAACTTCAAATCAATTGTGGTGTTTTCACTATTTTTCTAACTTTAAGTGGTTAATAGTGTATTTGTTAGAATCACCACTATTGTTGTTTCATAATCATCACATTTACTTCAGGAAATGGACCATGTCTAAATTTGAACATGTCTTCAAATTAACTCTCCAACTTCATGTGAAGAATTGTATATTATATATAATTAATGTAGATTTAATGTCTACAATTCGACTCAAAATAATTTACTATCCACTAACTTCAGGGAATGGAAAGAAATCGATCATAAGATTTCACCAAATATTTCACTATAGTGCTACTACTGGAGCAATTTAATATAGTAAATATCAAATATGTTATCGCAATATTGCTACTTCAGGAGCAATTTTGATGCATTTACATATTGCTACTCACAATATATTTTACTTGCATTAGTAAATATCAGCAATACTAAGAGTAAAGTAGAATATAAAAGTACAAAGTAAAATATGAGGAGGAAATAAAGTAATATTGATAAAACAAAGTGCTTTCCTAGCAATCTAAATATCAAATAAATTAATTCTTTAAAGAAAATATTTTTTTCTCTTTGCACACATGGATACTATCACAATTACATGCAACATGTATAAGTTTTATACATTCACATGATCAACAATCATATACATAGTTTAAGAATTGAATCGTGATTGTATGATATGAGTAAATATAATTTATAACAAGGAATATTTTCCTTCATATGCAAACCAAATATGCATATTTTATGATTTACCATTTTCTCCCATCATCATCATTTTGAGTCATTAAATTAAACTCCATAATGAACCGCCTCAATGTGGCTAGAGACTTATGTACCGGAAAGTTTTTGAGGTCGCGGCACTTTAGATCACAAAAACCTTTTAAAATATTTATTGAGGCTTCAGGTCTTCAGAATCAATATGCACCAATTTCGGTTGTGGTAGAATTAAAATATTCATTGAGGCTTCAGGCCTTTAGAATCAGTACACACCAACTTTAGGCAATGGTAGAAGCTCTTTTGCTAGAGTTTTCGTGCTGATAACGTGTTATAAAATTAATGCTAGACTACTAATATGAAACTAAGCATAAGAACAAAGAAGAGAAACAAGAGAATATAGAGAGATAAGAAACTTGTATTCAGATCTATTTTGAAGTATGAATGAGCCCTCTATTTATACAAGAAGTAGGGGATCAAAATGTGAAAAATGAATCACCTATCATTAATGTTAAATATTACAAAATCATATCTCCTTAATTGTGAATAAAATAATACATGTTAATTACGGACATTCAATCAAATCAAATCAAATATTTCATAACAAATGATAATTTATTAAGAGGAACAATGTTAAAGCATTAGCATTCACAACCCAGAAGTCCTGTATATATGGCTTAACTGATGCTAGATTTGCTTACTTCCAAAACAGTTGCTTTTTTTCTTTAAAGAGTTTCCATATTTGTCGACAATCACCAGAAATGGCCGAACCAATGGTGTCATTTCTTGTGGAATGCATCGGCAAATTGTTCATGGAAGAAGGGAAGCTCTTAACTGGGGTGAGCAATGAAGCTGACCGGCTTCAGTCCGAACTTAAAATCATTAGGGCAATTTGCCGAAAGATGCCGATGAAAGGCAACATGAGGATGCAGGTGCACTCGTGAAGGACTGGATTTCGCAGAGTAAGGATTTAGCCTATGAAGTAGAAAACATCTTGGAAGACTATGCTTTCAAACTTGCATCAAGAATCAGCAAAAAAAAAAGGAACCAGTGCTGTTGCGAAACGCATTTTTACTTCATACCCCCCCAAAAATGATTGATCAATTGAAGATTTTTCATTTACTTACTGACAAATTGAGAGCAAGCTCTTTGATACATCATGGATTAGTCTTTTTTTTTTTTTTTTTTGTGATGGTGAATGTAAAATCTACGTTTACTTACTGTAGTGCCATTTAATTTGTTACGTTTCTTTTCCATTTCATGTCAGAGTAGGCAATAACCTTTGTTATCATAGATTAACTCTGTTTCATATATAACACTTTGGTTCTGCTCTAAATGACCTTCTTCTTTACAATTTTGTTGACCTTGGTTCAGTAAATTGAGTTTGGCTCTGTTCAAATTGCACTGCTTCCTTTAAGTAACTTCCTAAAGGTGCCATAGTTAACTCATCTAAGGACTGAATTAAGATGAAGAAAAACTTCCCTATCAATTAAATGTTTACTTAATTTTGCATAATTTACAGAGTTCATGCTTTAGAGTGGAAACTTCTGATACTTTGAGAAGAGAATAATTTGTAATTTGCGCTGATATAGACGGAAAGAATTGGATTAGCCAAGAGCAAAAGCAAGAGGATTAAGAACAGTCATCTGTTAAGAGGTACTCCTTTCTTAACATAAATCTTAATGCAGTAAACTCGGTTTGGATCTCTTTGGGCTTCATGCCATTGCCTCCTTACTTATCAACTTCATCAAAGAATTATTCCTAATTCTTGCTCAAGTTAGAAGAAAAGAATTGGATTTCATTTTAGACAAAGAATAATAAACAAAGGGATAAGTACCGTAATGTCAATCCTAGTTTCGAAGTTAAGAATCAGTACTAACTTATAAAGAAGAACCTTTGCACATTGTAGCTTTTACAATCACAACTTTACTTCTGCAACCTAAACAAAAGGTCTCAAACAGTTCTTTCATATTTCTCCGCAAATGGCTGAGCCCATTGTGTCATTTCTTGTGGAATCCATCGGCAGATTGCTGATGGAAGAAGGAAAGTTTTTAGTAGGGGTGAGGGATGAAGCTGAGCAACTTCATTCAGAACTTAAAATGATGCGGGCATTGCTGAGAGATGCCGATGAAAGGCAACATGAGGCCGCAGGTGCCCTCGTCAGGGAGTGGGTTTTACAAAGTAAAGAGGTAGCTTATGAAGCAGAAAACATTTTGGAAGATTATGCTTTCAAGCTTGCGACAAGAAGCAACAAAAAAGGTGTGATAGCTGCAGTTAAACGCTGTGCTCGTATCCTTAATGAGTGCTATATTCGTCACAAAGTTGGGTTAGAGATTCGGAGTCTTAACTCTAGAATTTCCAACCTAAGAGGACTCTTTCAAGGATACGGCATAAGGGCTTTAACTGAAAAAGTGGAATACGGATCGGGTCACTCTACTAGTCAACAACAGTTGAGGATGACATATTCCATTAATGTTGTTGAAGATGAAGACTTTGTCGGATTCAGACACGATGTCGAGATACTGGTGGAGAAACTGGTGAAGGAAGATGATGTTTCTGGCCAGCAGTATGGGGTTGTTTCAATCAGTGGCATGGGAGGATCCGGAAAGACCACACTTGCGAGGAAGGTCTACAATCACCCTTCCGTGAAGCGTCATTTTGATGCCTTGGCGTGGGTTTGTATATCCCAAAAATGGCAAGCCAGGCAGATATTGGAAGGGATTTTATTCAGTTTCCTTCCAGCGAGAAGGCAAGAGATCAAAATGTGGAGAGACGAAGAGATAGTTACAGAGTTGCTTCGCTTCCAGCAGAATCGAAATTGCCTGGTAGTTCTTGATGACATTTGGTCCATTGATGCTTGGGAGTGCATCAAATTTGCATTTCCAGTCAGAAAGAAAGTCAACAAAATATTGATCACAACTCGAAACAAAAATGTGGCTATGCATATTGGTCGTCGTCTTCATGGTTACCACCATGAACCAAGATTGTTGAGCGTTGAGGAAGGCTGGGAGTTGCTTCAGAAAAAAGCACTCAAACATGAACCCACAACAGGTTAGTTTCTCTTCAATTTTTCCCCGTTTTTTTGTTACATTTTTTTGGGTTGGGTTACACATTTCACAGTTTTGCTTGCATGTCGTATATTGTATATATGCAAACAAGTCCAGTTCTTATATAAATTTTGAGCAAGTTAGGTTTAATTTAGTGCTTCAAGTTTGCTTGGAGGTCTTTTATATATATATATATATATATATATATATATACATTTAGATGTTTGTTTAGATTTAGTTTATACGATAAACCTTCACCAAATTAATAGTTTTGGGACTTTATAAATTTTATTCATTTGGAAATTTAACAATTTATCGATAATTTATTAATTTATTAATTTAAATTGATTTTTTGAAGCAATAAAATTCCAATTTCTAAAGGTTGAGTACTTGGAACTGGTTTCCAATGTAGATAAATGTCTTATTTCAATTAATCACCATCGATATGAATTTCCAAAAAAAAAAAAAAATCTATAGATTCATATTTTAGGCTCTGTTTGATAATCACTTAATATAATGACTTAATTTATTTAAGTACTTAATAAAATTAAGTGTGTTTAATAATCGCTACTAAAAAGTCTTAATGAATTAAGTTCTGAACCAATTAAGTACTTATAAATTAAGTGCGTTTGATAACTAAAATTTCACTGTCAGAATTAATTAAGTGCGTATGAATGACCAGTTCAATTGTGAGCCAGAAAATAAGTGATAGACGTACCACTTATCACTTAATTTCTATGATGACTCTTTGTTTTCTTTTTTCTTTTTTTCTTTTTTTCCCTCGTCTTTATTTTGAAGCTTATTTTTACATTATTTTAAAATTTTTATTTTCTTAAGATAAATTAATTAAGAGTGCTTAAAGTTGAATTTATATTATGAGTATAAAAGATCTCAAACTTTCAAACTCAAATTAAACTAATTTTAATACATGAAATTTGCTAAATAACAAGGTATACACATCTACGTAATAATCTAAATTTAATTATATATTGATTATTTACCAAGTGTAACATTTATTTTTATTTTACATACCAAAAAACTTATTTTAAAATTATTATTTTATTATTTAGAACAAAATATTAGTTATTTTTCTATTTAAAAGAATTTTGTTTATAATTCAATTTTAATGATATTAACATTTTAAATAACTTTCAGACATGAGTATTTAGATTCAGTCTTCAGACTTCATACTTCAGTCTTCAGACATCATATTCAGACGTTTTTATCAAACAATGTAAATTCAGTCTTCAAACTTCAGATTTCAGTGTTAAGTGTTAAGTGTTCAGATTCAGACTTCAGTGATTATCAAACGGAGCCTTAGTGTACACCTTCCTTCTTTTATTGGTATGTTGGGTAACTTTTAACCTGTCTTCCTGGCGGGAGCTATATTTATATAAGAATTTTATGAAATAATTAGTATAGCATTATTTTATCCATCACGTGCATTATACGTATTATTATATGAGATCGGAGAAAGTATTAAGTATCGGAGATTATTAATTTATCATTTGAGTTTTTCTTGGGACAGTTGGGACCTAAATATCACCTTAACCTCCCTATTTATTTTTTTTTTTTAAAAAAAAGATTTTGCAAATTTAGCATATCACATTATTTGTTCATTTACAATATGTAGGGTATGGTGACATCCATAGACTAGAGGCATTAGGAAAAGAAATGGTTAAAATCTGCGGTGGCCTTCCATTAGCTCTTGTAGTACTTGGAGGAGTTCTGGCAACAAAAGAGGGCTTCCATGAGTGGAACTTGGTGTATCGAAACATCAAGCGTTATCTAGGGAAGGGAGAAAGTATCCAACAGGAAGAGGAGGGAGAAATCCAAAAGATTTTGGCTATGAGTTACAATGACTTGCCATACAAATTGAAGCCTTGTTTTCTTTACATGAGCTGCTTCCCGGAGGATGAGGAGATTGATACCGAGAGATTGTATCATCTGTGGATCGCGGAAGGGTTGGTGTTCGCAGAGGATAGAATAAGGGAAGAAGAAACAATAATAGATGTTGCTGAGCGATATTTGGAGGAGCTAGTCAAAAGATGCATACTCCAGGCGAAGAAAAATTTTCGACTCGGAAGAGGGTATAGGTTATGTAAGATTCATGACCTAATGAGAGACTTGTGTCTGGCCAAGGCAAGAGAAGAAAAATTCCTCGAGGTAGTTGATTGTGAACATGAAAATGGTGCTCCCTCATCAACTGGTAATGCTAGCAGCATTCATAGGATCGTGATTTATTTAAGAGAAAATGATGCATCAAGATACGTTTTCCCTGAAATGGAAGCAACTCGGCATCTTATCAGGGCACTGGTATTTCGTGCAAGAAGCAGTGGAAACTGTATACCACAATTGACAGCTTCCAATTTCAATAAGTTTAAGATGCTAAGATCTCTGTCTATTGAAGGTGTCATCACACCAGGAATTGAAAGAATTTCAGAAAGCAGTAGCATCCCAGATGATGTTTTCAAGTTACAAATAGGCAAGCTTATTCACTTGAGATTCCTGAGTTTGAGAGAATCCAAATTGGTCATATCTCCCGCGTCTATAAGCAGCCTTGAACACTTGGAAACTCTTGATCTAACGCGGGCAAAGATAGGGTTGACAGAACCATATGTACCCTTCAAGTTTAGAAGGTTGAGGCATCTAATTTTGATGGGTTTTGAAATAATTGGCTCTTACAAACTCCAAATCATCGTCTCAAATACAATCGAGATCATCAATGCCCTAGACTATGATGCGGTAGTTGTTCAAAATCTCTTAGAGTTGAGCCATCTCCGAAAGATATACATACGTCTGTCTGACAATGTGATAGGTGTTGAAGAAATGTTAAAGCTCATATCCAATTCAAATCAGCTAAGGGAAGCAATAATCTTGGGTTTTGATTTGTTTCAACGCTACAGCCCAGAAACAGAGTTAGAACTTGTTGGACAATTGTTCAGAAGCAATCTTGAATACCTATACCTTCACTCCAGACTGCGTAGGCTGCCTGAATATCAACCTCACATGTTTAGGAACCTGTCAGAACTAATACTGTCAGCTTCCTGGCTGGAAGAAGATCCAATGGAATTGCTGGAAAAGCTTCCATGCTTGCAGACACTTGTGTTTTGGTTAGATGCCTACTTGGGAAAAGAAATGGTGTGCCATTCCGGTGGTTTTACGGAACTCAGATACTTGGTACTACATCATTGCCATAATTTAGAGAAGTGGACACTGGAGGTCGGAGCCATGCCTAATCTTGCTTATCTTCAGATGAGCTCCTGTGAAAGTTTAAAGTATGTTCCAGAGGTTTTGTTGACCATTTCTACACTCAAAGAAATAGTGCTCGAGGACATGAGTGAAGAATTCAGGTCAGACTATGCATTGAAATTCCCACCGCGAAAAAACCTGCTGGTCTAAAGTTTCTTTGAATCCATGAAAATGTAAAAAGGCTCTTTCTCGTCTTTGATTAGATACAATGCGATATGAATATGTTATATGTGTGCGACAAGTTTATTTGTAAATGAAATTCGTATTCTTAAAAGGAAGGGGGGAATTGCATGAAGAATTTATCCTAAATGACTTCTGTTTCGCAACACTGGTCCTGTTGGCGGAGCCAGAAATGAATTTCACCGGGGGTGCTGCTAAATTAAATTTTCTGCCTCTATCATTTAACAATTCGTTCTAAAAAAAATTGTATGGATTTTTCTAATGCATACGAATTTAACTGTAGATAGAAAATGAGAATGATACTAAAGATAGTACGTAAAATGGGATAATGAATGGTGTGTTATAAATGAAAATACCTAATATGTTTTGAATAAACTGGCTAAACATAGTTTTAAAACAGCTGATTCCAAGAAAATGATAATTGGATGAATTCAAAAAAAATGTACGCGTAACTTTCAGTTTGCTAAAATGTATTTGAGGCTAATTAAACAAATTTGTCTAAAAGAGCTTTTAATTTTGGTTCATACAAACTCTTTCATCTTGATTTGGTTTGTTTTATCTAGTGCAAAGGTAAAGAAAATTTCTCTATTTGTATGTAGAATTGGACCTTCTATCCAAACATCATTTCTCCAATTTTGCATATGTCCACAAATTATGAGTCAGTTACAACATATTCATCCCTTTAAATACAGACACAATTAGATACGTGATCGTTGCAAGTTTAGGGACTTGATTTATCAGATCAAATGACCTAAAACCTAAATATGACAATGAAAAGTGAATGTGACATTACCGAATTGCAGCATGGAGGAGGCAATCAAATCAAAATTTTGGTTGTTGACGAGCTGTGAGAATAAAAACAAAAACCGGGCTGGGATGGGTTGTTATTTTGGTGGCGGATTGGTGGCTCCATCGTTGGAGGTGGACGGAGGCCCGGAGGCGATGGATGTACTTCATTTTCAGGAAGAAGTCTACCGAAGAGAAGAGAAAACTTAAAAGGCTATGTTTGGATCGTTTTTTGAGTGTGTTTTTTTTTTATTGAGAATGTAAAAGGGTATATTGGAAATGTAAAAAGGTGAATTGGGAATGTAAAAAAGTATGTTGGGATGAGACAGATATTAATTAAAAATTTCTAAAAAAAAAATAATGAAAATATTGGGATGGGACAGATATTAATTAAAGAAGCATTGGATAATCTCGCTACTCAGGTCTCATCCTCATCCTTTTGAATACTTGTTTAGTTTTCCTTAGCCAAAATGATTTAATCAATTGAAGATTTTTCATTTTATTGACAAAGTTCCTTCCCTTTTTTGCGACGGTGAATTTGAAATGTTTGTTGGGAGATTATTACAACCAACTGTACTGTCTTTTAACATCATGGATGAGTTCTGTTTCATAGCACTTTTTTTTGGGTACAGTTCTAAATGATCTCTATTTAATATTTTTGTTGCCATTCTTTGAATCGCTTTTGGCTCTGCTCAAATTGCACTGATTCTTCTCAATAAGTTTCTAAAGGCGCCATAATTAACTAATCAAAGAACTGAATGAAGACAAAGAATAAAATTTTATACATCATTAGATATATTGTTTTGTTACCCTGTCTCATCTGCAGAAATCATACTATTAAGTGTGGAATTTCTGAACTTTGAGCAGAGTATAATTCATTACTTGTGCCAAAACCAGAAGGAAAGAACTGGATTAACCAAAGTAGCTGAGCAAAGGGATTAAGAATGGTAATTTATTAGTATTTTTCAAGTTCAAAGGAAAGAATTGGATTAGCCAAAAGCAAAAGCTAAGAGGGATTAGAATTATAATTTATTGGGAGGATCCGTGTTGAAGCATTTACAACCACAAGGTTCATAAGTTCTGGAAGAGTTGGGAAAAGAAATGGTGAAATCTTGTGGAGGTCTTCCATTAGCAGTGGTCGTCCTAGGAGGAGTCCTTGCAACAAAAAAAAGCTATAGGGAATGGGCTGTAGTGGGTAAAAATGTCAGATCCTTTTTACGAAAGGGAGAAAGCATCAAGCAACGTGAAGGAGAAGTGCAAAAGATTTTAGCTCTTAGTTACGCTACTTGCCGTACAAATTAAAAACCTTGTTTTCTTTACTTGAGTAGATTCTCTGAAGATGAAGAGATAGACGTCGAGAGAGTTATCCATTGGTGGACGGCCGAAGGGATGGTTCTTGCGGAAGACAAGATAGGGGATGAGTCAATAATGGATGTTGCTGAGCGTTATTTTGAACAGTTGGGGATGCGATGTTTAGTTATGTTGCGAACATTTGATGTGGATGCCGTTTCGGTGATAAGGTATAGATCATGTCGCCTCCATGATCTTATGAGGGACTTGTGCAGAGCAAAGGCCAGAGAAGAGAATTTCTTGAGGGTGATTGGCTTGGCACATGCAAATGATAATCAGTTGGCAGATTCTTTTCCTTCATCAGGTCGCAGTATCCGTCGGGTCATGATTAATTTGAGTGACAAGGATGCGGCAAAATATGCTCCAATTCAACTGGTGGAAGGCAAGCATCTCCGAACTATGGAATTTTGGGCTGTTGGGACTGAACATAGTTACTTCACACAACAAATAGCACAGTCGCAAATCGACAGGTTCGAGATGCTAAAATCTTTGACCATCAGACATGTTACTTCTCCAGGGGTTTACTATGGAGGGTCACGTATTTCTCGCAGAGCTTTCAAGTTACCAATAGGTAATCTCATTCACTTGCGTTGCTTGAGATCGATCGATTCATTATTGGTCATGTCACCTTCTTCAATAAGCAACCTGCAACACTTGGAGACTCTAGATATAAGAGAATCTCATATAGTACTCACGAAGAAGGCCCCGATAGTGGTGAGACGTCTGAGACATCTTTATTTCACCGAGAGAGAGGGAGGTGTGTTCTTCCCTTTGAGATTGAAGGTCTCTAAAGAGCTGGAGATAATAAGCGGTTTACAACCTCCCCTGATCCAAATTGAACAGTTGTCGGAGTTGTCTGGGATTCGAAAACTAGTAGTTACAAAAGAGTGTGATTTGCCTTGCTTTGCAGATGTAGCAGTGTGTGTCAAAGTCTGAACAGATTATGTAAGTCTCTCGGTAGATAATGGTCTCGTCTTCTTCAAATACAGTTCTGACCCAGATATATTTTATTATGGACCAAGCATTTTGGATTACTACCTCCGTCCCAAAAAAATAGTCCACGTTGAGTTTTTAAATTTGTACTAAAAACAGTACAAAATTTAAAACTCAATGTGGACTATTTTTGTGGGACAGAGGGAGTATTATTCTGTAGCAGCGTCGAAATTCTACATCTAAAGGAACTATGTACAATCTACGTTATTATCATCCCAATTTCTTGAAGAATCTTTCTTTGCTGCGACTGCAAGATTGTTACTTTCGCGATCCAATGGGACTACTAGAGAAGCTTCCCAACTTAGAAAGACTATTCTTCAGGTGCAGTTTTTATGCAGACGGTATTATCTATTGCCAGAAGACAGGATTTCCTCGGCTCCGATACTTTTCACTCGAGGGTGCATTTTATTTGAAGAAGTGGGAAATGGAAGAAGGAGGGATGCCTAATCTTAACTGCCTCAAGATTAGGATGTGTCGGGATCTGAAAAGGGTTCCATTTGTTCCTTCCCTCAAAGAAGTAGTGATTGAAGGGATGAGTTTGGAAGTGAGGAATTGGATGATTCAGAACAGATTTCACCGTGTCGAGTCCGTTGTAGTTAAGGACTAAGGAGTCCAGTACAGATTAACTTTTGTTCTGTCCTGTGTGATTTTTCTTTTCTAGTTTCAACGTTTCACTTCAATTTTAATCTGTGTGCTTGTACGTAATCAAGACATTTTTTTTTTCCTTAAAAAAATGGAAATGTAAATTTTTATTCTGCTTTCATTATTTACTCTTTGTGAAAGTCTGTTTATCCTGATTCATTTTTCACATCATCAATGAACAACTTTGTATGGAGTTCATGCTTTTTTCCCTTGGAAGTAAATTCATCACATTGAGCAAAGAATATTTCATTGCTTTTGCCGAATTTAGAAGGAAAGAATTGGATCAATTAGACAAACTATGTGATACGCAAAGGGGTATGAATCGTACTTTATCAAGTTCGAAGGAAAGAATCTAAGTATATGACGAAGGATGGAATTGTGCCGACGTCCCCGGTTAGTTATTATGACGCCCGTGGCAGTATCAAAACCCTAAAACCTGCAAAAGAGGGTCTCGGGGTCTCCCGATGGTACACACTCCGATTTTTAAGTCAGTAAAATTATTCGTAATAAGGATATAAATCGGGTGCATAAAGCGTACGTTTAACCGTGAAGGGTTGATCCCTATTTATACAGCTAGGTTATGGAACTCTTTCTTGGTAGGAAAGTAATTAAGAACCGACCTAGAAGCTTCCAGAGGCCAGTTGGACCTTTCACCAAATTTGGGCCGGCCCAGTTATGGGCCGTACTACTTTGTACTCAATCAGTATACTAATCTATATATTATATAAACAGACAAGCATGTTTCAGGTTTTTTACAATGACGAGATGCATAATTTTACTTCTGCAACCTAAACAAAAGGTCTTTTTCACCTACCAATATAACTACCATTTCTTTCATATTTCGCGGCAATCACTGAAATGGCCGAGTCCATTGTGTCGTTTCTTGTGGAATCCATCGGCAAATTGTTGATGGAAGAAGGGAAATTCTTAACTGGGGTGAGCCAAGAAGCCGGGCGCCTTCATTCAGAGCTTAAAATGATCACAGCATTCCTGAAAGATGCTGATGTAAGGCCACATGAAAATGTAGGTGCCCTGGTGAAGGAGTGCGTTTCACAGTGTAAAGATGTAGCTTATGAAGCAGAAAACATCTTGGAAGATTATGCTTTCAGGCTTGCATCAAGAACCGGTGAAAAAGGTACCATTTCTGTCTTGAAACGCCTTGCTGGCATCTTAAACGAATGCTACATTCGTCATAAAGTTGGGTTGCAGATTCAGAGTCTTAATTCTAGAATCTCTGACCTAACAAGAAAGTTTCAAGAATACGGCGTAAAGGCTGTAGCTGAAAAAGGGGAATCATCAGGATCCAGTCGTTCTAGGCTACTACAACAAAGGAGGATGACTTATTCCAGTGTCGCTGAGGATGAAGACTTTGTCGGATTCAGACACGACGTCGAGACACTGGTAGAGAAATTGATGAAGGGAGATGATGTGTCTGGTCAGTACGGAGTTGTTTCGATTAATGGAATGGGAGGTTGCGGGAAGACCACCCTTGCGAGGAAAGTATACAATCATCCTTCTGTGAAGGGTCATTTTGATGCCAAGGCATGGGTTTGTATATCCCAACAATGGCAAACAAGAAACTTGTTGCAAGGGATTTTGGTCAGTTTCCTTCCGGACAGAAGGCAAGAAATCGATAGGTGGAGTGACAATGAGATAGTTGGAGAACTGCTTCGATTCCAGAAGGATAAGAAGTGCTTGGTAGTTCTTGATGACATTTGGTCGATTGATGCTTGGGAGAGCATCGAAGCTGCGTTTCCACTCAGAAAAGAAGGCAACAAAATATTGATCACAACCCGAAATGAAAATGTGGCCAAGCACATTGGTCCACATGGTTACCACCATAAGCCAAGATTGTTGAGCGAGGATGAAGGCTGGGAGCTCCTTCAGAAAAAAGCACTAAACCATGAACTCGCAACAGGTTGAATTTCCCTTTATTTTTTCCATTTTTTCGTCTAGATGTTTCTCGAATTTTTGCATTCTGAGCAAGGTTCTCTTTAGCGTATATAGTTGTAAGTGCTTCAGTCTCGTGTCTGGTGTTTTTACAGTTTTTTCTTGCATTTGTTTGGCATTCAGATTTTGAGGTTTTTGCTTTTTTGGTCTGTAGGTTATGGTGACATCTATAAGCTAGAGGCATTAGGGAGAGAAATGGTTAGACTTTGTGGTAGGCTTCCTTTAGCTGTGGTAGTGCTGGGTGGAATCCTGGCAACAAAAGAGAGCTCCTTCCATGAATGGAACTCGGTTTCTCGAAACATAAAGGTTTACTTAGGGAAAGGAGAGAGTATTATTCAACAACAACAAGGGGAGGGAAAAGTTGGAGAGATTCTGGCTTTGAGTTACTATGACTTGCCCTACAACTTGAAGCCTTGTTTTCTTTACTTGAGTGGGTTCCGGGAAGATGAGGATATTGATGTGTTGAGATTGTACCATCTGTGGATTGCGGAAGGAATGGTGCTGGAAAAGGATAGAGTAAGGGAAGAAGAAACAATGATAGATGTTGCCGAACGATATTTGGAGGAGCTAGCCAAAAGATGCATTGTCCAGGTGAAAAGTAGTGGGAGCGAATTTGCCCGGAGTAGAAAGTATGAATCATGTCGGATGCATGACCTTATGAGAGACTTGTGTTTGGCCAAGTCGAGAGAAGAAAAGTTTCTGGAGGTAATTCATCATGGACTTGAAGATGGTGCTTCTCCATCAACTAATTGTAACACTAGTAGTATTCATCGAGTCACGGTTTATGTATGGGGTGGAAAGGATGAACGAGAAATCGTTCCCTCTGAGTCCGAATCAGCTAGGCGTCTTATAAGGACATTAGCTCTTCATTATGCTGGAGAACTGATTCTCGAGTTGCCGATGCCGATGCCAGTTCTAACCAAATTCGACAAGTTTAAGATGTTAAGATCTTTGATTCTTGATAAAGTCGCATGTATGTTCGAGTTTGCAATAGGTAAGCTGATTCATTTGAGATACCTTAATTTGAGTAGTTCTTATTTGATCTTATCTCCCGCGTCTATGAACCGGCTTCAACACTTGGAAACTCTTGATGTAAGCGGTTTGAACATAGAGTGGACAAACAAAGATGTACCCTTGAAGTTGACAAGGTTGAGGCATCTGTATTTGGAGAGTTCTTTATTTAGGGAGGGGGCAGTGAGAATGCAGATCATTGTCCCCAGTACAATTGAGATAATTCGGCTCTACAATGCCATAATGGAAGTTAGAAGTTTCTCAGAGGTCACCAATCTTCGAGAACTATATGTGCTTCTGAATGATGATCTTAAAGATGTGGAAGAAACCATCAAGTTCATTTCAAACTCAAATCTGCTAAGGGAAGCGACATTCAAGTTTTCCAAAGCAGAAGCAGTGTTACCTCTTTTTGCACCACTGTTCAGTAGCAATCTCCAATACCTATCCCTTTTCGGACCTCTGCAAAATATGCTCCCTAAACACCATTCTCAGATGCTTAGGAACCTCTCCCAACTTCACATGTACCATTCCGAGTTGCGCAAAGATCCGATGGAAACGCTGGAGAAGCTTCCCTGCTTGCAAAAACTTATACTTGGGACTTATTCCTTCGCTGGAGAAGAAATGGTTTGTCATTCCACAGGTTTCCCTGAGCTCCGCTATCTGCTCTTTGAAGATCTTCCTTTTTTCGAGAAGTGGACAGTGGAGGTAGGAGCTATGCCCAATCTTGCTTATCTTCACATGAACTACTGTGGCTTAACATCTTTTCCAGAGGGATTGTTGTCCATTGCTACACTCAAAGACGTTGTGCTTGTGGACATGATTGCAGAATTTATGTCAGACTATGCATTGAAATCCAAAACGCGAGAAATCCAAGTGGCGTAAAAGGCCGCCTCTTTTTTTTTTTTTTTTGGAGGAGGATGTCGTCTCGAGTTTGAATCCTACCAGTAAAAAAAAAAAAAAAAAAAAAGTTGAGACTTGTTTCTATGCTTCTCTAATGCTAGATAATTAGTTAGGTCAATGTAATAATGTAAGACACTATATATAATGTTTATACCATCTTCCCATTTATGTGTTGTGTGAAAATTATGGTTCAAGACCATATATTGTAAATAACATGGTACTCCAATGTAAAACTTGAGGCTTGCATAGTAAACTTCAAGACCAACTTCATCGCTAGCTTTTCTAATCTAGGTAGAAAATAGCCACAAATCCTTGATTTTCATGATGATTGTTTCTCCATCCATCAAATAATATTTGTACAGTTTAGATTTTAAATTTTAATACAAAATTTCTAATAAAAAATTAACATTCAAAGTGGACAATCATTTATTCGTAGAACAGTATACGACCATAATGTCAATTTAACCACAATGTTCATGTTCCTATTCAGGGAATTTGGCGCAATGCCAAATCATTTTTAGTAAATTACCAGTTTGACTTCAAATTATCTTTGATGGGATAACATTATCATTTTTATTTTTTTTTTGGGTTCATGAACATAAGATATGAAACTACCAAACTCAGTAAACCCTGAATCTCGAGTAAATTTCTAGTCAAGTGAGTAAGATTGAAAATAACCAAAAAAATAGTTACTATCACTCAAAACCTTAACATCGAATCAGAGATGTCAAGTATCAATTGACGTTCCATAGTCTCACAAAACCGATCCTTAAAACAGAATTGAATAATCATGATATTAATAAACCATGTACATACACTTAAAAGAACAGAATCAGAGCATTGCTTTCATTATTGTCAATTAGTAATGCTTCGTTTTCCCTGATAGCACCATTAAATAAACTGACAAAATTTGAGACCTGGAATAATTTACAGAAATCAGGGTAAGGAATATTACATATCTGTACTATGCAGGACGGCAGACCAAAAAAAGGTGACCCATAAATACCAAAATACTTACAGAGTAAAAGAAATACAGAAGAAAAAAATTTTGAAAAAAACTCAAACGTAATTGATATGAGACTTAAATTGCTTTGCTGCTGCATCAGAAGAGAATGAAGAAAATGAAGCTTGATCCGGATTAGGAATGTGTTTAAGATGTTTTTAGTATAAGTGTTTTGTGTTACGGTTTTACCCTTGATGGTTGTATAGATATAGGTTTTAATACAGGGTCTTTCTAGTCTTTTCCTATATCTCAGTCAATGGAGTAAATGATGTATGTATATATATGTTTTCAGACATAGTTAATAAAATCAATTCATTTTCTTTTCAAAGATCAAGTACTCGAACTCTTCTTCCCAAAACTGAGCTTGCTTTCCTTCTATAAACCCTAAATGGCAGCCTCTCAATTCTTTTAGATGGTATCAGAGCAGGTTAATCCGGCTAATGAGAACCGTTCTAGTAGTTGAATCTTGATAAACTGACAAGCCGTCGTCACACTAGTCAAATAATAATTACCTACTTAATACAATTACTAGTAGTAAGGTAGCAAGCAGGGTCGATCCCACAGAGAAGGAATACTAATTACCAGGTATAAATTACTCCTATTATTATCTAGATAAATGATGATCTCAGGTTAATAAAATTTAAAACTAAAATAAATAAATGAAATAAAGGCAAATAATATTAATTCAAATAATCAAACCAAGAAAACCTAGGACATTGGGTTCACCTACCGAATATTTGGATTAGTTCAGTTCATAAGTATCTGACTTTTAACTTCCATTAATCTCACAACGATTCACCTAATTAAGAACTATACACTCTCGTGTTATAATTCTCTTACTTATATTAACCCTATGACTACTCTCGTGACTATAGGGATTAACAAAAGCACATTAAGACCATTAAGAATTAAATATTGCAAAGGTTATAATCTTACTCTCGTAGCTTATAACCTAAGTTTATTATTCCTATGAACTAATATTAATTTTCCACTCTCGCTACTTCCATTAATATCTTCAAACATGCAAATAGTGGCCAATTACTTACATGAATTAAAACAAGAATAACAAATATTAATTAATGAAAAAATCAAATAAAAATAAACCAAATAAACCAAATAAATTCGGTGGCTACACCCAAGCCCTAGATTAAAAGAATTTAGCCACTAAACATTATTAAAATTAATTCAATAATATTTAGAGACATAATAAAAAATAAATAAATTAAATAATTAAACTTTAAAACCGAATTGACGCCAAAGACCCGCCAAAACTCCCCGGATTTGCTGCTCGCTTCACGGCTGATGCGTGGCTCGCCGGTGAATCAATGATGGAGGAAGATGCTTCGGTGGTACGGCGTCGGTGATCAAGAGAAGGTGGAGTTGACGCTGCTGCCGTGTGCGAAGGCAAGGGAGCAGGGTGCTGCTGGCTTTCTCGGCGTGAAGAAGCAGAGGTGGTGATGATGCTGCCGAAGAAGGAGGGCTGCGTGGAGGATAGAGACGAGGTGGAGAAGGAGGCTGCCGGTGAAGGAGGAGAAGGGCTGGTGTGGTGGTTATGGAAGCAAAGCGGCGGTGAACATGGTGGCCGGCTGCTTCGCGTGGATGATGGAGGAAGAAGGTGATGGCCGGCTGAAAGAGGAGGGAGTTCGGTGGTTTTCGGTCAAGTTTCGGTTCAGTTCTGTTGTAAAAATAAATCTCTAATCCCCCTTTTATAGGCTTCCGGCTAAACCCTACTAATTGAAGAACAAGAAAACTTGTTTCCCAATTAATATCGGGATTAAAATTCTTATCCAATTCCAATCCCAAATCGGCCGCATAACCATAACCTTCTCGGCCAATTTTCCAAAAATTTAATTAACCAATCCAAAATTGCATCATTGGCCCTCCAATTCTCTAAACTCATTAATTTCCTCCCCATCAATTGCTCCAATCTTCAATTTTTTCCCATTGAGTTGCTTTTAATTCGATTTTAGCTCAAAACTTCAACAATTCGTCATTTGAGTACAATTCCTACAATTAAAGATAAAATCACATAAATAGCATATTTGTACTCAAATATATTGCAAAAATCACAAATTAGAGATATAATAAATAGGTAAAATATAAGCATATCAAATACCCCCAAACTTGAATTATTGCTTGTCCTCAAGCAATCCCAAAAAATTAAAACAAACAAAAACATTTAATTATTTAATTTGGCGGCCTCAGAGATTCAATCACATCATATAACACAAAAATTTCGACTACCTCTAGTATGGACTACCGAACAATGCAAACCATAGCTACTTTTAGCCCCCACGCTTGTGTGTGTGTGCTTCGTTTCTTAGGGACATCACTTTACATTTAACATAGAAAACAAAAGCTCTACTGCAAATATGCCATTTTACTTTAACAACAGACTCACATTTCATATCATATTTCAATGCAATGGACCACCAGACATGCTATGAAGTAGAAGGACTTATCTCACAGACAACCTATTCCCCCTCGTAACCCATTCTTCGGTCCATGCGGCTTTTCTTCAGGACTCTTTCCAACTCAGGCCACTACCCAGAGCATTTTTCCACTCCTATACATAGTGGCTCAGCAACTTAGGGCAGTCTACATATCTATTTTCCTCACCGGGCCTGAGGACTCTCCGCTCAGGTTGCCAATTCCTCACCTCTCAAGGGGCTAGCATCAACATTGAATGCTCTTCCTTTTCTTCCTCATTAAAATTTACCTAACCTCAGAAGCATCCGCCAACACCCCTCCCCCAAACTTACTTAACACAAAGTGTCAAAGCAATAAGGTTTTTTAAGGCTGATATTGGGTTAATGCCTTGCTTTTCCTTCACAACATAATGGGTTCCACATATAAATCATATAAGTATGAGTGAATCAAACACAACTTTCATGGCATATCTACATCAAACTTATGCAACTATGTCTCACTTTAGGCTTATCCCACAGTCACGACTAAGTGCATAAGAAACAGGGTATTCAAAGCAACATAGAAATACATAAGTTAAGTAATACAATTTAAAATAGTCTAATTCTTACATGTTATAGATAATCAAAACAACTTCATCATAGGCCTTTTTGGATTTTTCAAAATTTTCAATTTTTATGGGTTTTTTTTTTTTATTTAAGAAAGATAAACACAAAACACAAATATTCCTCTCCCCCACACTTAAAGTATACATTGCCCTCAATGTATAAAACACAAAAGACAAACAACCAAGTGTAAAGAAAAGAAAAGACAAAAATAAAAAGAATGAAAAGAAACGACACAACCTTGGAAATGTGAAGCGGACGACCGGAATTGTTGAATAAATTGTTGCAACTACCATCCAAGCACACGACCACTCCTTCAGAATTTTGGATGTTTCATTTTCAGCACCAAAGTTCCACCCTTCCAACAAACCTAATTGCAAACTAAAATAAATTAGAAAAACAAACCTAAAAACAGATGATTAAGAAAAACCACGAAAATCCAGAAATCAAAGATCTCCAGATAATCAGGAAAAAAAACTTAACCACCAACTTATTAATGAAAGAAAAAGAAAAATAAAGCAAAAGAAATAATTGGGTTGCCTTCCAATAAGCGCTTCTTTAAAGTCATGAGCCAGACTATATAGCTGATCAATCAGGTGGACGCTCAATCAAAGAGTGGGAACCCCTTTGATACATCATTCTTCTTTTGGCTCCAACTGTACCTACATCACTGATACACTTGTAAGGAGGGTCATTAAAATTAGCAATAAACACATCATTTTTATCTGGCTCCTTAACAGAATCTACTCTAAACACATGATGAGTAAATGCAGGGCATTTGTAATTTTCAGAAAAAGTGAACTCCACAGATTCTTCTCCAATATGAAATTTTAAACTCCCCTTTTTAACATCTATAACAGCACCAGCTGTGGCTAGAAATGGTCGACCTAAAATAATCGGCACATTAGCATCTTCTTCCATATCTAACACAACAAAATCAACAAGGATATAAAATTTCTTCACTTTTACCAGCACATTTTCTAAAATCCCTTTCGGATGAGTTATGGATCTATCAGCTAACTGCAAAGTAATGTTAGTTGGTTTCAAATGTTTCAACCCAAGCTTTCTACAAACAGATAAAGGCATCAATGAAACACTAGCACCTAAATCACATAAAGCTTTATCAAAACAAACATCACCCATAGAGATAGGAATAGAGAAACTCCCTGGATCACTCAATTTTGGAGGCAACTTTCTCTGTATGACAGCACTACACTCCTCAGATAATGCTATTGTCT